TATGTTTATTTTGATGTGTTTTTTTTTTTTTGTAGTTTTATTATTAATGTTTTAAATATTATTGATTTAATACATTTCAATACATCTCCTTTTTATACAATATTATTCTTTAGTAATTCATGTCATGTTTGCCTGTCGTCCCTACTGGGACATAGGCCGCTGACAAGAGCTTTCCAGACGTCTCTGTCCAGGGCTAGTCTCTCCAACTGTCCCCAGGTGTATCCAATCTTCTTGGTGTCTTCTTCCAGGTCACGTCTCCAGGTCTTTCTTGGTCTGCCTCTCTTCCTCCTGCCTTGTGGATTCCAGGTGAGGGCCTGTCTTGTTATGCTGGATACAGGCTTCCTGAGTGTGTGGCCAATCCATTTCCATTTTCTCTGGAGGATCTCTACTTCCACTGGCAGTTGATTTGTCCGTTGCCATAGAACATCATTTCTGATGGTTTTAGGCCAGCGAATTCGCAGGATCTTTCTGAGACATGCGTTTATAAATGATTGTATTTTCTTCTTATTTATAGCAGTTATTCTCCATGTCTCGGCTCCATAGAGTAAAACAGGTTTTACTAGTGAGTTGAAGATCCGGATTTTTATTCTAAGGGTTAAATCTCCCGAACCCCAAACATTTTTTAGTTGGTTGAAGACTGCTCTTGCCTTACCCGTCCTTATTTTTATGTCTGCTTCTGTCCCACCCTGCTTATCAACAATACTTCCAAGGTAGGTGAATCTATCCACTTCTTCTAGGGCTTCTTCTGCCAGTGTTATAGGGTTGTTGTTTGATGCATTGACTTTGAGAACTTTACTTTTCCCTCTGTGGATGTTCAGACCCAGGCTTGTAGAAAAATTTGCAACCCTGTTGGTTTTATCCTGCATTTGCTGTTGTGTGTGAGAAAGGAGGGCCAGGTCGTCAGCAAAGTCCAGGTCATCCAGCTGGTTCCACAGTGTCCACTGTATACCGTTTCACGTTTTCTCTGTTGACATCTTCATAACCCAGTCTATGGCCAGTAGGAACAGGAATGGTGAAAGTAGGCAACCCTGCCTTACTCCGGTCCGTACTGGGAAGGCCTCTCTTTAGTAATTACTTATAAAAAATAATAATTAAGAGAAGTAATTGCTTTTTAGTTTGTTTAGTGCAAATCTATTAAAAGGAGATTATGATTACCCCTATTTGACAATTTTTAAAAAAAGGGAAATAAGTCATGGAAGTGGTTTGAACATTTGCTTATCTTTGATAAGTTTAATTGTAGGAGAAAGACTCGGCTTTCACAGTTGTTTAAAAACAAAGAGAAAAAGAACATACAAGAGCATGGGGTGTTGTCTATAGAATAAAGATAATCCAACCGCAGCGACGATAATTTTTTTTTTACAAAACAACCATTAAGTCAAAAATGCAAGAAAATTTACTTTTTTTTTAACCATAAAAAAATTTATTATGGTCGGCTCTGGGCCCCTAAATGGTGTGGGACCCTTCGCATTGCGGGGTCTAGCGGCACTGTAGTTCCGCCCCTGGTGGGGAGGCGGACACTGGTAAAAGTATATATTTTCTATCTAAATTCCATTTCGTTTAGGGGGGGTAGACTTTCTTGGGGGGGGGGAGAACTCTGAAGTCAAGATTAAACATTTTGGACTACGTAGGTTTATTTAAGGGCAAATTTAGGGCAACGCTAGCTCTAAAATTGAATCATCTAGTTAGGAGCAAGTTTAAGGCTTACTGGATTATTGTTTTCTGATTTGTCGTGAAGATGTATTTGTGATTATTGGGCTTTAAGATATGTACTATGTAAATTAGATTCCGTTAATTTTTTTGTTGTTTTTTTTTACATAACATAATCCCCGACAAAATGAAATTAATATGGTAAGATCCCTACAAATGCAAATTCACTTGTTGTTCTCTTTCGAACAAGGAGGTTTTTATTTTAATTTTTTAACACGAAAAACTGTAGTATCGTATCGATTATGTGTCTTGTTTGCCAGTATCGATGTTTGGTTTAGGGTTAGGATGAGAATTTGGATCAGTGATAGGGATAGGGGTTGGTCAGGATTTGAATTAGCAGCATGATTAGGGTTAAATCCTGGGTTAAGATTAGCGATACTAGCTAAAAAAAACGTCGAATACGCTCTGTCGGCTATTGTATAGGGCTGGTAAGTAGGTCACCAACCAGTTCTATGGCTCATGCAGGTTTTATTGAGCCGTAGAACTGGTTGGTGACCTACTTACCAGCCCTATAGACACCAACAAGCTTTCGAATGGATCAGACAAACACGATCTATTGTGCTCTAAACAAACAGACAATTGATTACAAACAAAACATATACGTAGTTAAAAGCTGTTGTTTTATTCACAAGGCTTTCAACCTTAGTATATAGATCTGCCAGGGACTTTAGATAAGCTACTACAACATTTCTGGCGATTGGATGTTTTGGGACACCCGGATGTTGAAAGATTGTTTACGAGGGTCGAGAATGTTGACTTACCTGTGTGGTTTTAGCTGGGTCATGTGTAGTTTCACATTTCTTGTCCAACTCGTCAACATGACGATAGCACCACATGATAAAACTTTAGAATGTCAATATTAGAAATCTAATAAGTACACTATAAATATATTTTTTTTAAATATGCGCTTCTGTGCTTTAGTTTCGTCGGGAATAATAAACAGCTCTATATGTATCGATACACAAAATTATAATCCCGTATATATGCATATATATATATATATATATATATATATATATATTATATATATATATATATATATATATATATATATATATATATATATATATATATATATATATATATATATATATATGTATATATATATATATATATATATATATATATATATATATATATATATATATATATATATATATATAGCCTATATGTTTAGCCATATACATATATAGCCTATATATATAGCCTAATATATATATAGCCTGTATATAGCCTGTATATATAGTATATATAGCCAAGAGTGCAGCTCCTCTTTCTCCCGCCCCCAGAACGTTACGCTACTGATACCATGAATTTCCAGTAAACTTCCATTATTTCAGTGTTTTCATGTCATTCAGGTGACAATCAAGTGCAGTCATGTCATCCTGATCTAAAGATGACAGGTTGTTATTTTCCTGTGACTGACAACCATCAGGTCACGTCTGTTCCGTACGTCATCGCACCACGTGACAATCTCTCAGATAATCTCTAAACATGTGTTGATCAACACAGATACGCTTGTAAAAACCTACTAGCATCACCTGCACTTAAAAGTGACAAGAACACATCTACATCATCTTAACACGTGAAAACACGGGGTCTATCGGTACGGTGGTAGTAAAAATCTTAAGGCTTGGACCGAATGGGTGCGCGGTGGGCACGCATCATCAACACAATCAGAGAATTATCCACCTTACATTTTCTACCAAGTAGAACTTTCGATTTGCACCCCCTCCCCCTAATCAAACTATAATGCGAAAATGCAGCTAAAATGACATTTTAATTTGTTTTTTTCCAACCCATTTTGGCGCCCCCTAAGGTCGGCGCCCGGGGACATATGAGCCCCCCCTTCCCCTTCCCCGCCCCCCCCCCCCCCCCCCCCCCCCCCGCTACGCCACAGAAAAAACGTTCAAACTTGCCGGTCTCTGGTAACTATCTTGGCAGTCCCCCAAGATAGTCCTGCTCTTGTTTTTTTTTTTCTTCTGAGGCCTCCACGTCTCTCTTAGCCTTCCCTGTTTCCTTTTACCTTGAGACGTCTAATTATACGGCATTCATAATTCATAGACTCCATAGTCAAAGCATGTTAATAATTTTTTATTTATTTGTTTTAGTTTTTAATTCGAGATGTATAATAGGACATTTGTTTTCCATTTAATTCGTTTTTTTCTGAGATTTTTTCTTCCCTGAAGGATAGACAACGAAAAGTTTGGTTAAAAAAGAATAAACAGTTGTATATTTAATTTTATTTATCGTAACAAAACACGCAAGTGCTGCGAGATCTGGTAGAGAAAATTGGACAAACTTTCAATTTGGCGCCCCCCTCAAACTTTCGATTTGCACCCCCCCCCCCACCACAAACTTTCGATTTGCACCCCCCCCCCCTCAAACTATTTATAACGCAAAAATGCAGCTAAAATGAGATTTTAATTTGTTTTTCCAACCCATTTTGGCCCCCCCCCCCCCCTAAGGTCGGCGCCCGGGGACAAATGTGCCCCCCCCGCCCCGTGCTACGCCTATATATATATATATATATATATATATATATATATATATATATATATATATATATATATATATATATATATATATATGTATGTAATTCTCACAATTGAAAGAACGGTAGCATATATATGGAGAGCTGCCTAAACTGAGTCCGCTGGAGAGGTGTAATTGCGGCCCTTTGCTCCCGGGGGAAAAACTTCGGTCAAAGGGAAATAACAAAGAAAACATTGCAGATGACTAATTTGACACAAGTTATAGTTCATGAAAAACAACCTTTTGTTTTTGTCATTTACGATAGGTTTAATAAGGTAATACTTGTTTGTTTAAAGACCTGTTTAGTTATTTTATATTTCTAGTTAGTTTTTTCAAGAAAATGAGAAAATGTTAACTTTTACTACATAATTTTGATCCTGTTGATAATAGACCACTTTTCTAGATCAATAGAGTCAATAGACCACTTTTCTAGTTTACATCTTGTCAAGTTCTAATTAAATTTACACTGAAATTTGCACTGAAGTTAATTATTCAGTAGGGGTTTCAAATATAGTAACCAGGAAATACTTTTTTAAAAATCAAAACATAGTAGATTTATTTTTTCAACTTCAGCAAAGTAATTGCGAAACAACTTATCAAAAAACATTTTAGGCTTTTAAAAGAAAAAAAAAATACTTTGCCACAATTCGTTGAATAAATTACCATAGTAGATAACCATGAGATTTTTTTAAGAAAATACGTTTCCTGCGCAAAGTCATGAGCTATTTTTAGTCTGTGTTTTCCCGTGCGTTTCAGTGCGAGCTGTAAAATCCGGAAGTGTCTAATAAAGGCCAAAGGCTCCCGCCATGAAAATTTAAGCAAAGCCCCTCATGTGGGATTAAGTGAATGAACGGACGACCAGTGGGCCAGGTGAGACTACAGGTGTTCGACTGGCGCTGGGGGGGGGGTGTTGTGGTGGGGGTGGGGGGGGGGGGTGATTGGTCTCAAATTATTCGGGTGAAAATGTTTACATTATATTTAAAAATATAACACATAGAGATCTACATGTAGCCTATATCAATGAAAAATTGGGTGGATTTTTGAAATATTTTTTCAGCTAAAGCTAGATTTCTAGATCTAGATCTAGTTACTCTAGTGATTTTTATCAAAGCGCCTTCACCGAAGTGTCGTGTGTATGCGTAAGGACATGAGTTAAGGATAGATTCAAAATTTGAGTTGAGCTCAGGATTAATCGATGTATGGGTTGAGCTACTTGTAAACAGAGCAGGGTACTTCCTGTCGCTTGTTAAGACAACGCCACTGCGACCACTGCTCCCAGAGCCGTAAACCTAAGTACACCCGGCTTTCGCCCTGCTTATTGTTTTGAACTGGATCAAACCCAAAAAAATACATACTGCTGGAGCTCCGTTTTATTTTAGGTTGGGTCCGTAAACAGTTTGACAATGAAACAGATGATTTACAACATTTACATCATCGCTGGTTTACTTTACACAGGGTTGCCGATCCCCATTTATAATTCTAAAGGCTTAGTTACCAATAGCGTGATCTTTAGATTTGAGCTTTGGTAGAACTTTAAAATAGAACTAGTGACTATTATTTAGGATTAAGATTATGTAGAATTCATGCGGTGTTTTGGTTTGTTACGAATGTGTTTTAATTTAACAATGTGTTTTTATCTAACCCCATAAACTGGATTATAATTTAACAATGTGTTTATCTAACCCCATAAACTGGCTTATAATTTAACAATGTGTTTTATTTAATCTACCAGGCTACGTTATAATTTAACAATGTGTTTATCTAACCCCATAAACTGGATTTTAATTTAACACTGTGTTTTATCTAACCCCATAAACTGGCTTGTAATTTAACAATGTGTTTTATCTAACCCCATAAACTGGATTATAATTTAACAATGTGTTTATCTAACCCCATAAACTGGATTTTAATTTAACACTGTGTTTTATCTAACCCCATAAACTCGCTTATAATTTAACACTGTGTTTTATCTAACCCCATAAACTCGCTTATAATTTAACAATGTGTTTTATCTAACCCCATAAACTCGATTATAATTTAACAATGTGTTTTATCTAACCCCATAAACTGGATTATAATTTAACAATGTGTTTATCTAACCCCATAAACTGGATTTTAATTTAACACTGTGTTTTATCTAACCCCATAAACTCGCTTATAATTTAACAATGTGTTTTATCTAACCCCATAAACTGGATTATAATTTAACAATGTGTTTATCTAACCCCATAAACTGGATTTTAATTTAACACTGTGTTTTATCTAACCCCATAAACTGGATTATAATTTAACAATGTGTTTATCTAACCCCATAGACTGCATTATAATTTAACAATTTGTTTTTGTCTTATCCACCAGGCTACGTTATAATTGAAGATTGTTAAACCCAGTGAACACCGACGGCTACTAATGTAAAAAAACAAGTGACCCTTGCGACCCTAGAGGGGGTCACGTGGAGTATGTTGAACGGCTTGGTGCAAGGGAGACGAATCTCAGCGGGCAGGCAGCACAAGAACCCAGGCTTTTCTCAGTTCTCTCCCGCCGATACTCTGGCCACCGACGCCCCACAACATGGCTACATCACTTGCCTGAAGAACAACCCCCCATCCAGCCACCCCTCAGTCAACTCCCTCTCAGCCAACTACCCCCACGTCAACCACCCCCCAGCCAGCCAACCCCCGGGCTATCTCACCGTGGGTGATGGCGACAAATCCAGCGGAAATTGCAGCACCAACTCAGTCCAAACGCAAACGATTGTCTCCCTGCAGTCCAAAAACCTCAACAACAACATCTCTGAAAAATGCGGCTGCCCCAGTAAGGTCTGTTTCTTGCCCGACTGCCGCGCCATCGACCGCAAGCGGCTAAATTTCATCACGTACTTCGCCGACAGCAACGAGCTGGTCTGCAACTTTCCCGGCAGCTGCCACCCCCCGCCTTGCGCAGCTCCCAGAGAAAAGTGCGGACCGAAGCCGGTCTGCAACTTTCCCGGCAGCTGCCACCCCCCGCCTTGCGCAGCTCCCAGAGAAAAGTGCGGACCGAAGCCGGTCTGCAACTTTCCCGGCAGCTGCCACCCCCCGCCTTGCGCAGCTCCCAGAGAAAAGTGCGGGCCGAAGCTGGTCTGTACGTGCAAGTCGAAGGTCATCCCGGAAACAGGCGCGGGGAGAATGGCATCAACACACGCCCCTAGAGTCCCATCGCCACTGACCAGGCCCTCATTGGCTATAAACAGAACCCCATCGGCTTTGAGTAGAACCCCATCGGCTACGAGCAGAAAATCGTCACCTGTTCCCTCAAAGATGCCCTCACCCATAATGCTTTCTCCAGAAATAGAACAACCCCACTACCCCAGGCCGAGTACCAGCCCCCTATCCCGAACCAACTCCTCCCCCGTCATCTACCAACACACCTCCCCGCGTCCCTCCCCATACAGCTACCCCACGAGCAGCGAGTCGGGGTACGCCTACTCGGACGGGGACAACACCGGGTTCAGCTCGCAGCCGACCACCTCGGAGGCAGATGAACTTGGCCTCACGCGCAAGGAGGATCCGAACTTCACGCAACAGATGGAGCAGAGCACAATGTGCATCCAGCATCAGATAGAACAGCAGGGATGTTGCGTGCCGGCGTACGACCTATCAAACGCGGAGGAAAACACGTACATGGGCGGCAACCCTCAAATGAATTACTCGCTCCTGAACTGCGAGGAAGCGGATGAGCATGGTCTCATGACGATATCTTCACAGGTCAGCATGTTCCAGAAAGAAAAATACCGCCAGTTCCGCCGTGAGTACATCAAAAAATGGGGGATCAAAATCTCGCCCCCGGACGGCTGTGAGTGGATCTACAAAGAGCAGGACGACTGCCGGACCGAGAAGGTCAACCGGAACCTCAAGGTCACGCGCATCAGCGTGGCCACCAAGGACTGCTGCAACTGCCCGTGTGCGGGAAAACCCGAGATCCAGAACAGGGCGTGCAAGCGGTACCGCCGGAGCGCCATCGCGGAGATCTGCCAGAGCCCGTGCAGCTGCATCCGGTTCAACCAGTGCTGTCCGAGCCCGTGCGCGGACAGAGCCCGGCCGTGGCACACGCCGAGGGTCGACACGTACCGGAAGTGCTGCTCGCCTAAGGTCAGGTCGCCATGTTGGAAACCGTGCAGCCCTGTATTCACCTGCACGTCCAGGTCACCGTGCAGGGCCTACAAGACGTGTATCGATTGACCCCAGAGAGTTCACAGGTACCGACAGTAGAGTTGCGCATGCGTACTTGTGTAAACAAAAGGTGGAAATTATACACCTGTAAACGTCAATAAAGAATGTTCCACAAAAAAAAACCAAAGCGTCTTGCAAATGATGCGTGAAGTTTTATCATTTACAATGTAATAAATCATAAACCATTTTAGGCATTTCTTAAATGTTTTTTTTTATTCCTTATTTTCTAATTGGGCCCAGTAACAAATTAGCCAAGTCTTTTTATTAAATATCACAGAATAATGAGATCATTGTCTCATGTGTTTGGTGTACAGACATTTGGTCTAATGGCATTTGATCTAAAGACATTTGGTCTACAGATATTTGGTCTACAGATATTTGATCTACAGATATTTGGTTTAATGACATTTGATGTAATAATATTTGGTCTACAGACATTTGGTCCACTGACATTTGGTCTAATGACATTTGGTCTACAGATATTTGGTCTATAGACATTTTGTGTACAGACATTTGGCCTACAGATAATAATAGGTATACAGACACTAATTTATACATTTCTTCTTCTTCATAATCCCCTTAGTGCCCATGGGGCAGATGAAGTAGAGTTCATCTGATTCATAGACTTCGGCATATGAAGGAATAGCGTGGTCAGCGCTATGCCCAGCCGCCTTTACTTTCCCTAACGTAAGTTAGATACTCATCAGAGCTGGGTGTACTATGGGACGTTCCACTGATCTGAACCCGGATTCGAACGCAAGACTCGCGAGTTAACAGTCTAGCACTCTATACATTTAATCACACATATTAGTTGAACTGGTGTGCTATTCATGATTAACTACCCACGCGCTAACCCAGTACAAAAGCTACCCATACGTTACCTTCTCCTGGAACTTACCAAAGTTATTGTTTCTAAAAATGGATGCTTTTAAAAAATTGAATTACAGGCTCACCTTAGATATCAGAATGATCGTATACCATTAAAACAACACGCCCTTATTTTCTTTACACCATTACAGTGTTTGTGTTTTTTGAGTAATTGGGCTGACTTGGGGATTCAACTGTCACAATACAACTGTTACTATCTATATATATATATATATATATATATATATATATATATATATATATATATATATATATATATATATATATATATATATATATATACTCGCCGTCAGTACCCGTTACACGTGAATTATACGCCTATATATTTTAATGTTATACTTGCTTGAGAAAAATATTTTATAAAATAGTTATTGGCCAAAACTCAATGTGCTTTACCGTTGAACGATATTAATGACAAAGCAAAAAGAATAACTAAATAGCTAAAAATCATTTAAATTAACAAAGGCTACTAATACCTATTAGAAAAGAGAAATTATATATATTATTAGTCAACACAACACCATATTAAATGCACACACTGAATAAGAGATTTAAACGATTCCGTAAAAAATCCGGCTGTTCAATGGTACTTATAGGATTTTAAAGTAATTTTGTATTAGTTTGACCGAGAAAATTGTATACATTTCACAGCGTACGTCTTAATAAGTAGATCTATAGATCTAAATCAAATTTGAATGAAATAGTTCATTTCCACGTTTTATAAAATTGGAAGATGACGCCATTGGTTTTGTGTTCTTTCTGTAGTTCAGACATGTGGCATGTGACGTCATTGTTTATTGAGTTCTTGTCACGACAATAAACACTTTTCCGGCTGCATAGCTAGAAATGTGTTTCTACATTAGAATATGCTTTTATTTTTATTTTCCTTCTTTAAATAAAATTTAGTTTATACATTTATAACATCCACCATATTATTTTCAACAAAAGTCCGTATCTTTTATTTCTTCATATATCGCTAAACATACTGATCACATAGCCTCAAAAATGTTGCGGACAGAGAGAGAAAGAGAGAGAAAATGAAAGAGAATTGCGCACATGTGCTTTTATATATTAGGATGCAACAAGCTTTCACTTTATCAAAGATAACATGAAACTGTGTAACAAAGATTCAATTGAAACTTTCATTATTGTTACAAGCTTTTATTTAAATTGTTATCTCTGTCGCCAGTCTGTCTTCCGTCACAGATCAAAACGGGCGAGCGAAATGTCGGGCACTTATAACTGACAGATTCATTTCAAGGTTGGTACGTGGGTTAAGACATAAAAAAAAGAATTGCGCACCATTTGAACGGCAAACAATATCTGTATAATAGTGCGGAATATTATTTGTTCTTTATAAATTCATTATTTTTTTTTTTTGCGAAATCGGAAATCGCATAAATTACTACTTCCTGTCAACGGAAATTACACAAAATTTGAAATAATACTCATGTTATAGGCTTTTCAAAAATTGAGAGAAGAATAAATTCCACTTCCGGTTACCGGAAATCGCTGAAAAGTTTAAATAGAACTAAAAATTTGATATAATACGGACAAAATGGCAAAACTATGTTTTTCCGACTCAATGAGGTGTAAAACGATTACAATACTTCTTCTATAGGCCTACTTCGTATACGAGAAAGTAAAAATCCAAAAGTAATCTTATGACCTTTTCTGGTTTACAGTTGGTCTGACGTCACAGGTGGTTATCTTATTGTCTGAAGTCACAGGTGGTCATCTCATTGTCTGACGTCACAGGTGGTCATCTCATTGTCTGGGTCTACAAGTGTACCGATTTCTATATCTCACCTTTGACTCATTGTTATAGCTCGTGATCTCTATTGTGCCAAATTGTTTAAACAACAATATTTGACACGAGGCTCCTACTGGTCAGTTCAACCCGGCCAGGTCACTGGCCAGACCGCGTTCAGGTGTACACAGAGACATATAATCCGACCAAGTTCAACAAACCATTGACAAATGTCTAGGACATCAAACATCCAAAAGTATCATCCACATACACATAAGGTAGGTCTCTTTAAAATATTTCTTTATGTCACTAAATAATTAAATACATGTTACTTTATCAGATTAACACACAATGCCAAACTTTAATTAGCCGAATAAAATAAGAGTTTGAATAAACACTTTTAAATTAGATCAATCGCTTAAACTAACTCAGATTTTGAATATTCTAGATTGTTCGCCTGCCCTACCTGCCTCAATAATTAAACTAATCAGATTCCAATAGTAAATCTAATTTATCCCACACAACACCTGACTAATTAAACGATTTTTAATTTTTCAGAAATCTTCACTGAACAGGATTCACCGTGATGGCTTTATCATTGATGGTAAGTACATTTATTGGCGCATATTTTTTGCTGAAAATTGACACACTCACTAAAACGCACCCACACGCAGAGAAAAATGTGCATTTATTACAAGCTTTATTTAACTCAATGCCTCTGTCGTCAGTCTGTCTGTCTAGATCGAAACGCCAGAGCGAAATTGCAGGCACTTCTAACTGACAAATTTGTTTCAAACTTGGCACATGAGTCAAGACATTAAGACAATGCAACATGACATTAAATTTGACGTAAATAGATGCCTAATTAATTGTTCAAGAATTAATTAAAACTGTGTCCAAATTAGTAGGCTGTCTCATCAAACTATTCCGCACTATTAGACTCGCGTCATCACGTTCATTAGGTGAGCAATGGTTTTTAGTCATGCAACTGTATTGTAAATTTTAAACATTTAAGGGGGAAGGCTCCGGTAAAACTTTTTTAATACACGTAAGAAAACTGTTATTTCTTTACAGCTTTATTAAGATACATCCGCATATGCATTTCCACTAAAATAAATTCGTGGAAAAATCTTGGTAACTATGAAAACGGCGGCCATCTTGAAAAATTAACCTCTTCGTAGGTTTTCCATCATCCATAAAATATTATATTTTAAGCCCAATAAATAATGAATTCATAATCTTCTTCCATATTTTGGGGCACTCAGCTAAAAATGTTAAGTGCATATCTTCAAAATAATTTTTAATGAATTTTCAAAATTTGTGCCCGTTTAAAACGCTTAATTTTGGGGAATTTTGGGAAAAAAATTAATAAAAAAACGTTTTAATAGCAAGCTTTTATGTAATAACTAGACTACCCGTTAACTAGTTAGATAACTGTGGGTTTCGGTGGTTATCGATAAATGACATCACGTCTGTCACTTATCATCACAAAATAACCAGACCCCACATTCAAAAGACGTTTTTTTTTTGCCTTTTACAAACACTGATTTCAGCTGAGCATGGGCCTGACCACACTATCTCTTCATATATTGACGTCACAGGTGACCTACTCAACTCTACTTACCTACCCAGTGTCCTGCCAAGTCTTAGACAACATGTTTTTATCATTTAAAAAACGATTCCGGTCGAGCATAGCTCTGACCACACTATCCCTTCATATGCTGAGTACACAGACTCAGGTGAACTCTACTTTACCTGCCCTGTATCCCGCCAATCAATCACATATTACAAAATTGAAAACAAAATTGACATGATGTGTCTTAAATCTGTACCACCCGCATGGTAACCTTATACGCTAACATCTCAGCTATCTAGGCTCATAGGCTATGTAACTGTTTCTTTTTCTATAACCTTTTATTTCAGTCTCGTGAAATCACTGTCCTCAAAACAACTCGACTTCTGGTTGCTACAAAAAAATTCCTTGGAAAACCACAAAATGGTTATGATTTCCCCATTGCACAATTTTTTAAGTGGTTTGGAATCGGCGTCATGGAGATGAGAAAACAATATGGCCGAGACTACGAGGTCAAACCTTACCTGCTGTCAACACCACACCTTCGCCATCTCAGCCAGTCCATGGCGACCACGTTCATCTACCAAAGAGAAGACCTGGAGACATATGTTAATGAAACCAAATTTAATCTTGCATTGAAACCATACACTTATTGTGGCACTGCCCTTCCATACATCAGATCTGGTATGGATTTTTTCTTCACATCTTTCGATGACGTCCATGTCATCACTGGCAAAGAGTTTGTTCCCTTTAGTCAATTTTACAATGCCTTGGCTGGGGACCTTGTGGAAAGATTCGATGTTTCCTTGAAGTTTTACGTTAACAATTTCATGTTTGAGGATGATGACGTCATCCCATCAAAGGTTCCATCCAGCCATTGGTGGTGGATGGATAAAATTTATAACAGAACTGACATTAGAGAATTTTATTATTAATTTATAATTTCATTAAAGTGTTTGATTCCATGG